GGCAAGAGATAGAAGAGCAGTGGCGTCTTTATGATGGTTTTGATCCAGTTTTGGAGAGAAAACTCAGAGCGAGGATGAAAAGGGGTGTGAACTGTCATGGCAGATTTATGCCTCGCATGGTTGTAAGTATCGTCTCCATATCCTCCCTGTCTTCTAAGTTCCTCTCTGCGACAGGTGATTTTTGTTTCTTAACATGTCTATGTGATGATGGGTATCTTTGTTGTCTGAGTGTAGGTGATTCCTCCGGGCATGGAATTTCATCACATTGTACCACTTGATGTGGATAACGATGGGGAAGGAGCTAGAGACGGTGAAAATCCACAATCTCCTGATCCGCCAATATGGTCTGAGGTTAGTATAATCTTCCAACAATAAACATTTTTGTTTTCATCATGTCTTTACATATTAGATGACAGTGGTACCTGCAAGTTTTTTCAGTGCTAGCTTTATATTTATTGTAAACTCTTCACTTGGTCAGATTATGCGTTTCTTTTCTAACCCGCGCAAGCCCATGATACTCGCGCTTGCTCGACCAGACCCTAAGAAAAACTTGGTAACTCTTGTCAAAGCATTTGGAGAATGTCGTCCATTAAGGGAACTTGCTAACCTTGTAGGTCTTCTTCTTTATCTTCTCTACTGAAGCACATCTATGACCCCCTTTTACTTGTCATTGATATTTCACTTTTTCAAACTTTCGTTGTTTCTCTCTTCAATTGCAGACATTGATAATGGGAAACCGAGATGATATCGATGAATTGTCTACCACCAATGCTTCGGTGCTTCTTTCAATTCTGAAGCTGATAGACAAATATGATCTTTATGGTCAAGTGGCAATGCCTAAGCATCATAAACAATCTGATGTGCCAGAGATTTACCGCTTAGGAGCCAAAACAAAAGTAAGGTTCTAGACTCATTTCGAATACATCTCTGACTGCTACTTTTTTCTTCAGCTTATTTCTGTCCCAGTATATCCATTGTTGAGTCTGCTGACTCTTTTTTTTACTGACATGGTTTCTGAAAGTATAACTTCACTTCATATTCCATTCAGCGAACAAACTCTTTTCTCAAAACTATTGTAATGTATAGGATGTTAGCTTGAATTTCTGCAGCTTGTACTGCAAAGCAGACTGGTCATCCTTCTTACCTCTAACCGTTTTTTCAGGGAGTTTTTATCAATCCAGCTGTGATTGAACCATTTGGACTGACACTAATTGAGGTATCTGTCTTTGTTTTTCTCTTAAGTGCTCTGTTCTTTCTCATGCTATCTTTTGACCAAGCGATGCGTCTAACAGGCAGGAGCTCATGGATTACCTATCGTTGCAACAAAAAATGGAGGGCCCGTCGACATTCACCGGGTTTCTATCTCCCCATATTACTGAATAACTTTGCATTTGTTATCCATGCTTCCATGCAATAATCATTAAATGGGATAACTAATTGACAGGTTCTTGACAATGGTCTTTTGGTTGACCCTCATGATCAACAAGCAATAGCTGATGCACTCCTGAAACTGGTTTCAGACAAACACCTCTGGGCAAGATGCAGACAAAACGGTCTTAAAAACATACACCTGTTTTCTTGGCCAGAGCACTGCAAGACCTACCTGTCTCGCATAGGAGCGTGCAAGCAAAGACATCCTCAGTGGCAGAGCACTGATTTTGAAAACTCTCACCCTGATTCACCTAGTGATTCCCTCAGAGACATTAACGATATCTCTCTGAACCTAAAACTTTCTTTAGACGGAGAGAAAGGAGAAGGCAAGAGCACCAATTTAGATGCTGAAGAGAGCTCCGTGGAACGAAAAGCGAAGCTAGAAAAAGCTGTTTCAACACTGGCACAGAAGAGCACATCGACAGGGAAGGTCGATGGGAATAGCAAGATTCCAACACTGAAAAGACGGAAGTATATCTTTGTTATCTCCGTGGACTGTGACAAGGCCTCAGATCTTCTTGAAGTAGTTAAAACAGTTATTGATGTAGGAGGAAAAAACGGGTCTTCGATAGGATTCATCCTCTCAACCTCAATGAATGTATCCGAGACTCATTCCACTATTATTTCAGGAGGACTAAACCCTCAAGATTTTGACGCCGTGATCTGCAACAGCGGAAGTGAACTCTACTTCACATCCTCTGCATCTGAAGACAGGAACAAACTACCTTATGCGCTAGACTCAGATTACCATTCACACATAGAATACAGGTGGGGAGGAGAAAGTCTAAGAAAGACTTTGGTACGTTGGATCAGTTCAGTGCACGAGAAGAAGGCCCAACATGATGGCGAGATTCTATCGGAAGATGAATCCTCCTCATCTAACTTTTGCCTATCTTTCAAAGTCAAAGAGCCCACTTTGGTAAAATAAAACTCGATAATTGATAATTCTACAAATACGTATTATTCTAAACTCGATAATATGATCCTCTTGGCAGGTGCCTCCGGTAAAGGAGCTGAGGAAGTTGATGAGAGTTCAGGCTTTGCGTTGCAATGCAGTATACTGCAAAGGAGGAACTAAGCTCAACGTTATCCCTGTCCTTGCTTCACGATCTCAGGCCCTCAGGTATCTTCAAGTTCTAGAATCTCTCTCATTCTGATAATCATACTAAAGAACTGACCTCTCTGGTTTCTTCAGGTATCTGCTGGTGAGGTGGGGAGTGGATTTATCGAAGATGGTGGTTTTCGTGGGAGACAGCGGAGACACGGACTACGAAGGGTTGCTTGGAGGAGTGCACAAGACGGTAATAGTCAAAGGGGTAACGAGTGACGCAACCGCACGTGTGCTTCATGGGAACAGGAGTTACCCACTAGAGGACGTGACTCCAGTTAACAGTCCCAATATCACCGAAGCCGAAAAATGTGACCGCGAGTGCATTAAGGCTGCCCTTGAGAAGCTCAGCGTCAAAACCTGAGATGTGGCAATGAGGTTGCGTCCTTATTAAGTACGATGATATGATGAATGTTAAAACATAAAGGTACTTAAAGTATTCTCCTTTTTCCTTTAACAATAAAACAAGTATTGTATGTTTTTTTTGTAAAAAACTCGAGAGAATCATCAGCATAATAAAAGCGACTGAATTGAGTTTTTTCCTTAAATGGGATTGCTAGAGATATAGCAAAGAGTGTCTTGAGAGATGGAAGATTCCATTCATACCTTGCCTTGGGGGGTCCTCCTTGGCTTCATGATCGGATAGCAAGAGAAAAAGTCGGAAGCAACTGTTGATTCTTATTTAGAATATTGTTGCTGCGTTTTGTTTTTTGGCCTAGTTGTACAAGGTTGTCCTCTGTTTTGAGGTTCACTTTCCCTTTGATCGTATCAATACATTCAGACGTTAAGAAAAAAAAACATATAGCAGTTTATACATTTTGTTTGCTTATGCATATAAATATTGTTGCTTCTATTTTTTGGGTGTGTTTTCTTATGTTTGATATAAGGGATATATAATCAATGATATTGCTGGCGTTGCAAATCAAGTTATCTCTTTGTCAGTTTATATATAAAAAGTGAACGTTCGTAGTGATTTTTGCTCGATAAACAAGTCTTGAGCCTTCTCTATTGCCTTGTTAATGAATACATTTGCTAGAGTGGTTGGTCCTGTGTGGATGTTTGATTAACACTCAATCCTCCTGAAGATGATCGTTTTGTTTTTTAAAGAGAGAAACCTCTCTTTGATGTTCATCTGCGACATTAACCTTATAGGAGATTTCAGTAAAGTGTATGCTTCCGATAGACTAGTGATCGTATAATTTTTAGGTTCAGCATTATTTACTAAGTGTAAATCCATGTTTGCGTTTAACTAATGCTGTAATTTAAAACGGGAAAAAAGAAACGATAAAGCAAGAGGCAGCGTCTGATACGGAATGCAAACAAAGATCATAATACTTAAAGCATGGGAATAGAATAAAGCGAGTGTATCGGGAGAGTTTATGGATTTATGGGAATTGGTAGTCACTGAGTATGGTGGCAATCGTGTCTGATACTCTGTTGTTTTTTTATCAATTAGCCTGAGCTTTGGTTTGTGGTTATCTCGCATGATAACCACAAACCAAAAGGCAGCATGTTTGATTCAAAATTATCACTTATAAGTTGGAAACATAAGAGACTATGTGGTTCTGTATTTAAGAGACCGTGCTGGTTTTCCTATAACGCTTGTCCTGTGAGGCTTGGCTAGTCTGTGCCAGCGTCGTCCTTGCAGATTTTAGCAGCCATTCCTTTTACAGCAAAACTCTCCCTCGAAGCCACAGGCTGCTGAGCCAATTACAAGATTAGGTACCACTTAAACAAATGTCAACAAAAAGTATATTGTTTATTCAGTGGTGTCTGATTTCAACCTGTGCATTGCTGCTCATCGGATTGTTGTTAGCTTTGGAGATGGTCTGTTCACTAAGAAACTATCGGTGGGGTCTGCGTTGGGAATCTTTGCCAACAGCAGAGGCACAACTTCAAAAGCGAACATCTGAAGAACTAGAGGAAATCCATAGCAAGTTGTGGTACGTTGAGATAACTGGAAATACCAAATTTTTGAAGAATCCAAAACTGTAAATCATCAAAAAAAGATGAGAAAGAGAAGAATAAATTAAAAACGAAAAGGAAATCAACCAGAACAAGATAGAATATGAACCGGAAAAAAATATGGAGAAAAATTAAAGAAGACAAAAGTGCAGAAAATGATAAAAACATAGAATGATGTCGAATAAATGGTAAAATAAATAGATAGATAGTTTTTTAATAATTTATCAGTTTTTTTTTTTCAATTTCAAATTTAAAAGAAAATAAAGAACAAACAATTTAAGAGTAAGATGTTTTTCAGCATTTGAAACGGAAAATCACGAGTTTAGTCTTAAACACATTAATAACACACAGCGGTATCGTTTTTAGAGTCTGAATAAGACACACAACTCACTAGTTTAATTTAAAACACATTAACACTATGGACTTACTTTAGACACACAACTCACTAGTTTAATTTAAAAACACATTAACACTATGTACACTAAAGTAAATATCCTCAAGGAGTAGTCACCACCCGGTTAAGCTTCAATGCTGCAAAGGATGCAGCCAGATCCAAAGCGGCTTTCACTTGAGAAGCATCCGTTCCCTGAACAAAAACATGCTGAAAACTGTAAAATGACAACATCCATGTACCAAAGACAAAGATTACACGAAAACTAAGTCTCCCCCCTTAAACTGGTCTGTGCAAAGTGGCTCAAGGACAAGGCACACAAAGTTTCATGAGAAAAGACATTTTGAAAGATAAAAAAGAGTCATACCTGGCCTGATGCAAGACCATCTTTTCCTTTCCCTTTCCCGCATCTCCCGTTTAGTGGACACATGGCAGTTGTCAACCATTCAACAGAGTCTAGTTGCTTGGATTGATCCTGCTTGTCCGGAACTCCGGCACACACAAACACCTTGTTTGCGATTACATCTGTGCTGAATACCATAATTGACATCCCCTGCCACATCCAGTAGACGCTTATTTAACAATCTAATTTCTCACAACGTATAGCTATATGATGCGTTAAGAGAAAATAAGAGGATACCTTCTTTTCCTTGACTTCATAAACGGCCTCTCGCACAGCTACTAAATCCAAACCCACATCAAGCTCGATTACGCAGAACTTCTTCCCATCTTCTGTTGCGGACTCAGCAGCCTCTGTCGCCACTTTTATAGCTTTCTTTCGGTTTTCTTCTGCTATTTTCTTTTGAGCTTTTCGCACTTGATCCTGCAAGGAAACAAACAAAAAAAAAGATTGTTTTGGTCAGCAACTAGGACAAAAAGTTGTAGACAAAGGCTATGAGCTGTATGTACCTGAAGCAGAGAAATATTAGCCTTGATTTCAGCCTTTTTAGCAGCAGGGATAACTGCTTCCTCATAGCGTCTTTTCAAAACCTTAACCTGTTTTTCGTCCAGTGCACTACTACTACTCCCCAATGCATCAACTACTTGTTGTCCGAGCAAGAATGCAAGATTCATCGCATCAAGAGCACACTGACCACTCATAGCCGTTATCCTACGAATACCTTTTTCCACTCCCTCCTCCGATATAATAACAAACGCTTTGGCTTCCCCAGTGTTTCCTATGTGGGTTCCTGGTCATTATTATTGGTCAAAATTAGCCACTCAACAATGGTTTTCTTTTTATTTTTTATTTTTTTAAAATGATTAATCGGGACTCACCTCCACAAAACTCAGTGGAAAGTGACGACCATTCATTGTTTTCAGGATCAGCCAAGAGTTCCTCCACATGTCTCCCAATTGCCACCACTTTAACAGGATCATAGGAGGCCTATGAATAGTAGAAAGATATTTAAAAAATAATGGTCGAGAGAACCACAACTGAAAATGAATGATTTTAAAACTTACTTCACCCAATGCTTGTCTTAGACCCTTGATGCGCTTGGCTTCAGAAAGCGCTGCTTTCTGGGAATATACACCCAGCTTGTCTTCTATCATCTTATTCACTATACATTCGATCTTTATCAAATCACTTGGATCAATCGGCTTCCCTAGTACTCAGAATATTATTACCACAATCAATTAATTAGACTCTCAAAAATCCACATTTTGATAAATGAAAACATAAATTGACATATCAACTGTACCGTGGGAAAAACTAAATCGAATTTTTTCAGGAAGAACTATTGATCCTTTCTGTTCAATATGGCCCCCAAGTACTTTCTGGATTCATGAGAGAGATACATATATATATATATATATATATAGTTTTGAGAAACTCAATTAGGAAATTGATAACAGAGTGTGGATAAACATACATACCTTCAGTGCAAAATTCAACATATGTGTACAAGTATGGTTACGGGCAATGAGCTTACGTCTCTCGTAGTCAACCTGCACGCATTATATACATCAGAGAAAAAGAAACTAAATATATAGAGATAGTACCAAGTAAAAAAGAGACAAACTGTTTAATTACCTTGCAGGTCACTTCATCCCCCACCGATACCTCTCCAGTTGCACTAGAAAGATAGCCAATATGAAGTACAATACCCTTTACTGTTTGTACATTGCATACTTTGAATGTGCCAAATGCGCCTTCAATAAGTCCTGTGTCATAAATCTATTTGACAGAGCTCAGTCTTAGGTGCGCAGATTCTATATAAAATGATTGGCAAGTGTATACAAAAAAAAAAACTAGATCGATCATATATACCTGACCACCTTGCTCAGCATAAAAACTTGTAGATGCTAAAACCAGCCCCACAGTGTCTTTACTACCAAAACTTTCCAGTAAAGCAGAGCCAGTGTAGATTGCTCTTATTTCAGTCTCATGATCCTGCACCAAAAAATGGATGATGGATCCAGGGTAAATTGCACATTTAAGAGGAGAGCCAAAAAATTAATTTAACGTATCTTTTGAACAATTTTTAAGATAAAGACAAACCTGAAACCAAATGTATTTACAAGAATCATCTGTTGCTGTAACGCCAGTTTTGAGCAATGTTGTCGTAGCATCAGCATCCATAACAATGGCAACGCCAGCTTGCTGCCACGTTATATTGACATTTTTAGTGGCTTATCAAACAGACACTTGAAAAAAAAAACTGTAAAGCAAAGAAAAAAACGTTAGAACACATTTTTCTGGGCATTTCTCGATCTATCCTTCGACTCATTCATGGCTTTATCGAAGCCGTCCACATCGACTATCAGCCCTTTCTCGTCAGCCATCAACTGATACACACAGATAAGACACTTAAGAAATGGCACATATAACACTTTCACACTGATAATTACGAATGAGCTTAAATACCTGAGTCAAATCTACTGGGAAACCATACGTAGCCCACAAGTCAAAAGCAATCTGCAATTACAAAAAACTAACGTGTTGAGATGGCAATGATATCAAAAACTGCATATGATCTTAAATGTAGATGCATTGCCTCTCCACTCAGAGTATTCCCCTCAACCACTTGAGCAGCTTTCTGAAACTTCTCAATTCCCTGCAGTGAGAATTGTTGGAAACATGTCATCAAACACACATTTTCGGAATGATATTTGAAATAACTAATAGGAGTTGGTTGTCAACAAGTTTCATAAATAAAAGTAAATCAAGTGCAACCACCTTTTCCAAGGTCTTGCAAAAGCTCGCCTCCTCCTCTTGTAATATCTCAGTGATCTTCTTCTCGTGTTCCTTCAACTCTGGATAAACGTTGCCCATCACCCGGATAACAGAGCTAACAAGTCTAGTTCAGGGTAAGCACAAACTATCAGCGTTACATGATGCATTTACAAAACTAGATGACTTGAACAAACACGTTCATGCAGGCCCTGAAACACTGATACTGAAACAAAAATCATAAACCAACAACCTAATAAACTTTCTTACCCACTGAAAAACCCTTCCTCAGCATTTAGAATTTCTTTTCCATAGCGAATAGCTCGCCGAAGAATACGCTTCAAAACATGTTCACGGCCCTCGTTACCTGCAAAAAAGGTTTTATACTAGGTGTTATTGCTAAAATGAGAGAAAGCGTATAATCTTTTTGAATACCATAACAGATTCAAAAAAGGTATTAAAAACTAAAAAGAAATGTATATGCAACATAGAAACGAACAAAGAGCGCTTAGTTCTAAGAATGTAGAATTAAGAACTCAAACAAATGATCAGTAACAGTTGAGAAACGAGAGACATGAAAATAATGGCATTACCAGGGCGGGAACCATCAGCAATAGCAATTGATAACGTCCTAATATGGTCAGCAACCACTCGATAAGCCGTGTCAACTCTATCCACGTCATCTTGGCCAACTTTACCAGAGTATGGCCTAGCTCCGGTGGCCTAAAAATGTTTGAAAGATTTTCAATACCTCAGGTCAGGTTAGATTCATAGCAGTTAGGTAAGGGGCATGAAAAGAATATTTAAAAATTACTAATTCTTTCAATGAGAAAACAACATGGAAAAAGAAAAAATTGATGCCGCTAGTTAGAAATCCAAGAAAAAACATACTAAGATGCATTAACCATGTGACTTTGAATGTTTAAATCAAAAACATTCTTGAAAACTGGAAAGGAGAATATAAGTGCAACATCAAAGACACATATAGCAACGATAAATAGATACAAATGAGTTACTCGGTATATGAAAAAGAAACTCAATATGTAAACAGAATATTCTCCATTCCAGTTTTCACCAAAAACCACCTTTTGGATGTCATGAAAGATGGGAACGAAAACATCTGTATCATAGTTGCTCATTTTATTCTGGAGAACCGAAGTCAATCTCTCGAAACCCATTCCGGTATCAACATGCTTAGCAGGCAGAGGTTTTAGTGGGCCATCTTTCTTTTCTCTGTTGAACTATTTTCAAAAGACAAAAAGAGCCCCATCAGAGGAGAAAAACTGAGAATAAAAGGGTAAAGGTAAAGAAGCAAATACAGTCTAGCTGATGTTACATTTTTAACTAAAGAAAAAGAGAGTGTGTACCTGAATAAAAACAATATTCCATATTTCTAGGCAAGTTGGATCGTCCATGTTAACCAAGGATGCAGCATCACGGTTACCAACAAGATCGTAGTGTATCTCGGTACAAGGTCCACATGGACCTGTGTCGCCCATCTCCCAGAAGTTGTCCTGCAAATCCATCAAAGATTTTACAAAATTGGCCAGAGTAAATAGGATATACATTTTTTAACAAGAAATCACACAAAAGTGGTTTTGACAGCCAAACTATCAGCACTTGAAAAACGAATTCCTACTCAAAAAATACATTCAAGCTTCAAGTTGGCTGTAATAGTTCTTAACATAATCAAAGAGTTAATATATGACATTATGCTCAGCATCTGAATAAGAGAAGGACAACTGCAGAGGTCTAAAAAAGGTTCAAACAAGAAAAAATATATAATCGCTGGTTCAGAAGGAAGCACATGAATAAAATATGCAATTCCGTCGAAATTATTTATAAGGGGGAATGAAACAAAACGTACTTTGCAACCAAATGGCAGAACCCGTCCAGGTGGGAGAAATTTCAGCCATATATCTTTAGCCTCGTTATCGGGTTGAAGGCCAGCTTTCTCGTCCCCCTCAAAATATGTTGCGTAAATTCGATCAGTTGGTAAACCATAGACCTAAGTCGAGAAAAAAACAGGGAGGACTCTGTCAGCGTGTAATGAGAGAAAAAGGAAGAGGATGCAGTAGTAACTCTAGTTTTACCTCGGTTAAAAGCTCCCAAGCCCATTCAATGGCCTCTTTCTTGAAATAATCTCCAAATGACCAGTTGCCAAGCATTTCAAAGAAGGTGTGATGGTAAGTATCTTTACCCACATCTTCCAGATCATTATGTTTTCCACCCGCACGAATACCCTTTTGAGTGTTACATGCACGCTTGAGCTTGCCAAGTTCGGTATTTGGGTCGGCCATCTCCAAAAATATTGGTTTGAACTGGTTCATTCCTTGAAAAAAATAGGAAATCAGGTAAAAGTTTCAAACCTTTATGAAGACAATCAATTATAAGCTACAGAACAACACTTTAATAGAAAAAAAAACATTACAAACAAAAAGACAACGTTTGGTACCAGCATTAGCGAAGAGCAGGCTTGGATCGTTGTGAGGGACAACTGGACTGGATGGCCAGTTCTTGTGGGATTTCTCTTTGAAGAAATTGATAAAAGTCTCCCTCACTTTCTTCGATGGCCACTCAATTATATCCGCCATCGAGGAACTCAGAGACGAAAGTCTACAAGAAGCGGAGGAAGAGACGAAAGTAAGTCTACAAGAAGAGGAGGAAATTCTAGACAGCTGATACATATAAGAACTTTAACCCGCCCTTTCAAAAGGGCGGATATATTATTTTGTTTTTTTTGAGAAATTTATTTTTTATATTTATGTTTATTTTTGTTTAATATTAATTTAATTTAATATAATTTTTGGTTACTATATTAAATATCTCAAGTTGCATAACTATACACTTGTGGTACATATACATTTCAAAATTTATTTTAAATTTTATTCCTAAAGTTTGTAACATATTATATTTTCTTAGTAGTTACCTACTTATAATAGTTAGAATTTCTCACATTTTATTACTAAATTTACGTAGGTATTTTATAAAAATATGTAACAAATGTTATTCCTAAAATTTGTAACATATTATATTTTCTTAGTAGTTACCTACTTATAATAGTTATAGTTTCTCACATTTTATTACTAAATTTACGTAGGGATGTTAAGTCATGGGTTAGGGCCCAACCTTCTCTAGAGTAATATAAGCCTAACCCTATTTCAACCTAACCTTATTTTAACCCTTTTTAAATTAGAGGGTTAGGGCTGATGGCGGATTAGCCCAATTAATTATTATGCAATGCAATAATGTTTTGTATATCAAATTTATTCAAAGTTTGCATGTTTTTTAAAATTCAAAATATAATCTATCTATATATATAAAGAAATGTTCACTCCCTCTAGCCTATGCCACGTCACTAAATAGGTTTCTTAGGTGATGACACGTGTACAACTCTAAAACAAACAATTCTTGATTTTGTTTGATGTGTTATGGGCTTTTACGATGTGGGTTTTGAGATTGAATTACGGTGGATCCTTCTCCAAAAAAGGTTGTCGACAAACCAATTACAGTGCCGCCGCCTTTAACAACTCCAGTTCAGACCTATGGCCAATGAACACTACACCGGCCACGTTGAAACCCGATGAAGGTCAGTTGGAAGACATCGTATTTGGCTGTTCGATTCCACTTCTTTTACTCTTGATTGAATTTTATGGAAGTCGGTTGGATTCATGCATCCTCATTGAATATCACATTAACACCAATTCCCACTACTCACACGATCTATCGATGAGTCCCCTATTGAATCCTTCGCTTCAATCCTCCACTACAAATATGTAAGTTTCCTAGCCAGAAATCATTACTTCATTCCTCTCAGTCACTTCCTTTCATACTTTTTCCGCGACTGTTATGGTGACCTCCTCCCTGATACTCATTGATTTGCAGGCTGCCATTCTACCTCCATCATTGAACGGCCGTTCTAACTCTCATAAGATTTTGGGAGTTTTGGAATGTGAAGAAGTCCGGTGAACTTACGGGATTTGATATGCTTATCCTTGATGCAAAAGTAATTCTGGTACGCAAACACATTACCACCTTCAAAGTTTTGTAGAGTTCATACTTTCCGATATTGTATAAAAGTAGTCTACTTTGGTTTCTTTCACTTTTCACTCTCATCAGTCTGAAACCTAGAATACATGCCTAGACATGGTACCATGTCTGAATGAACTCTTTCTTTATTCCTTCTTTCATGGTTCAGTTTCTTAAAACTATAGCACTTAATTACTGAGCTGGGAAGCTGTGTGTTCTTCTATAGATGCCGTCAATGGTTTAGGGTTTCTAAGGAACCATTTGGAATAAAGCCTAAACCTTTACTTATATTGTCTAATCAATTGATGACTGATTTCGTGGTTCATAAAGGTATTGTTTTTTTTTGTTGTTGTTGTTATTGCAGTTACTTTGTCAAAGACAAAGAAGAAAGGAAGGTAGCAGAAGCACAGTATTGTAAACTGAATCAGAGAAGCTGTCAAGAAATATATTTCAGGCTATGTGTTCTCTTTTGAAAACATGAGAAATATCAAATTCAAGGAGTTTAGACACAATGGAAGATCAGTTTCTTTGTTGTTGTTTTTTATAACTATGAGTATATGGGTGTTGCTTGAATGTAACTGAAATTAATATATGTTACGGTAAGTCTTTGATTTTTTAGTTTGGTTCTTTCTTGGCTCAAATTAAGTGATTCAGGTTGCTCTTGGTCGCTCTGCTTCTGATGAAATCCGTCATGCCATAAAACCTCCAAGGTTGTACTATGCTTCTTAAAGTTGTATTATATTACTTGGTCTAAACTATTGTATGATGCGCTTTTAGTATTTTTTCAGCTGCTTCATGGTGATGCAGGGCTTCTTATTCCAGATATGCAAAAGGAGTTGAAAAGGTATCATCTCTCTCCCGAAGCCCACTTTTTTCCAATCTTGCTTTGGTGAAGGCAACAGTGAAAGACTTACATTGTATCCATCTCTTGGCTTTCCCATACCTTTGTTGTAACTGTTTCAAGATGCTTTTAGTTTCCCTTTCTCTCTCTCATACACAAAGTGTATCTATTTTGTTAATTCATTACGTATGTACGGTAGAATTACTATCAGACTTTGTTTGTGAAAAGCGTTTCCCTTTGATGAACAAATTTGACTTGATCCGAAATTACATCGTAAATATATTTGCAAACATAATTTAATATTTTAAATGATTCTAAAATACTTAATAAAAGTAAAATGATATATTTTAATAATATAAGTTATAGTAAGTTTGTTAATAAAATAAGTTAGTTATATACATTAACAAATCAAATACAAAAAAAAAAGTAAAAGAATAAAACTAAAACAATCACTAATTATATTCTGAAAACTAAATAACAATAATATTTTTCTCTTAAATAAATTATCTGTTTGAATGCTATGTTTAATTGATATATACTCCAAATTTATATAGTAACTATAAATAATATATTTTTGTACTATCTAACTAATTACAAAATATCAATTATTTAATTTTACTTATTATCTAAACTAACATGTATAAAATAAATTTTATAAGAAACTAAAAGTCTCAAATTATTCAGAAAAAATATTAAAGATAGAAATAAATTATAATTTATATGTTGGATTTGAAATTTAATTGAATAAATTAATGTATTTAACTTACTGGTTATAATAATAATAAAATTGATGAAAATATTAAATAATGACATTTGTATCATAATAATTTTAAAATAAAACAAACTTATGATTTTCAACAAGAATAACAAAATATTCAATATAATATTACTTTAATTTAAGGGATATTTATTTTAACTATATTTTACCAGCTAATATATTTTAATTATTTTTCACTTACTTATCCGCCCGCCCGTAGGGCGGGTTTACCCTAGTTATATATATATAAAAAAGTCCTTTTTATTCATTTTTGTCCTCAAACTCAAAATATGAAAAAGTTTACATGTTTTTTATTCATATAATCCATATCACTTTCACTAGTTACTAAATAAAAACTAAAACTCGTGTTACAATCGTTCCAAGCAGTGCTCCACGTCTCCAACACTCGCTCCAACTCCATTCTAATTTAATTTTTTAATAATTGAGAAACTTCGTTTTCAAAGATCTGATCACTGATCCACCAACACCAACAGCTAAGCTATCAAGTATGATTTATGAACCAGGATATTTAGTTCACACGCAAACGGTGCCGTTTCAGAATGAGTGATCCACCGATTTCAACTAAACCGACAAACCACAAACCACAAACCCTAGTCTCTGGAGATCGATTTCAAGTTTTCAACAAGTTTCTAACAAACCCACAAACCCTAGTCCCTAGAGATCGATTTCAACAAACCTTGGCTGCGACGAAGCTGAAGCGACGAACACAGTCTCTGGGACGAAGTCTACAAGAGATCCGACGAGAGAGAACGAACGGCTCTTCAGATCTGCGACTGTGATGATGGGAGAGATGGAGAAAAAAAAAAACAACTGCGTCGTTTAACTTTTGTGTTTACAGAGAACACAATTAACCCTAATAGGTCTTAAGTCCAATTTTAGGCGGCCCTATTTTAGTCTGGGTAAAATATTACGGGCTTAGGTTAAAAATATAAGCACGGATGGGCTAACCCTATCGCTTAAAGCTCATGACAACATCCCTAGAAGAGGAGGAAGAGACGAAAATCTACAAGAAGAGGAGGAAACCCTAGACGGCTGATACATATAAGACTCAGAGACGACGGATATATTATTCTGTTTTTTTTTTTTTGAGAAATTTATTTTTTATATTTATGTTTTTTTCTGTAAGTATATTTAATATTAATTTAATGTAATATATTTTTTGGTTACTATATTAAATATCTCAAGTTGCATAACTATACGCTTGTGCTACATATACATTTCAAAAAATATTTTAAATTTTATTCCTAAAATTTGTAACATGTTATATTTTCTTAGTAGTTACTACTTATAATAGTTATAATTTCTCACATTTTATTACTAAATTTACGTAGGTATTTTATTAAAACATATAACAAATTATAGAAACAATTTTTTTTGATAAAAATGTAGATTAATAGCATCTTATTAAAGAGGTTAAGTAGGCAATAAATCTTAGTCAAAATATATTTTATGAAACAATACCAATTTAAAAGGTCCATAGAAATATACACTGCATTAAATTATTAGGTTTTTAGGTTAAAACCTAGATTTAAATCTATTTATATCTACTATATTAAAATAGAGTCATTCTTTTTATCTACCGATACAAGTCGTCATTTAAATTTGGACCTTTTCTAGAGTGTTACAAATATGTAACACAAGCCATATAATTAATTAAACCGCATTACTTAAATTAAACCGATAGTTGTTTATGGGATATAGTATTGAGCTTACTTTTGTTTTTAGAACAAATTATATAATTTGGTTTTTGGGCTTTGTATTAAGGAAAAACTCCAAAAACATTGAATAAACTTTCCACCTTAATAGATCAAAAAATCAATTATTATTTTAGGCCCAAAAGGTATTTAATATTTTTAACAAAATAAAATTGTCTATTATTAATCATTTATTTAAATCATGTACTTTAAAACATGTTAATGTATTTTTTATTTTAAATAACAATCACT